GCCTGCAGCTTTTGTACCAACCACCTCTCCATGCATGGCTTACTCATGGTCCTGATGATGGAGGCAGTATGCACCTCTGATATGTCAGTTAACTTCTACATGGCTACAAGTAGGCATGGTGTCGCGTGATCATTCTCATCAGACCTTTCGTCTCGTGTATGTATGTTCATGGACGCCCGTTTGCCTGACCTGTCACTTTATCCTGTTAGGAACCCCTTGGAGTGGAATTTGGGGTTGTTCTGTTAGATCTTCCTCCTACGCATCTCTTTCATCAGTCTTCATCATAATCATCCAAGTCAGTGTCTAGAAAAAGTTTGATCTTACGCCTGTGCAGTCGTCCTTCTGTATCCCTGCTTTTGTATTGTTCTTATTTCAACCCAATACAGTATCTGGGTTTTTTTTTTACACTGCATAAGCTGAATAAATGCGCACAGGCCAAGGCGTTTCAAATTCTGGAACGAACTCTGTCACAGTGGGCATGGGTTCAGATTTATTTCCTGTGACAGAAACAAAGACATTGATTCAAAAGGAATGCAGTGCTGTTGCCCCTAACGCTTTAGCTGGAGCAGACTGAGTCACACACGAGCTGGGCTAGTCTTTCAGTGCAGCTTACTCATTCATTTGACGTGTATCTGCTAAGGGGGATTACTTCAGGTATGACTTTTACTATTTTTGTTTGTAATTGGTAAATGAGATATTCTTAAAATGGTGTGATATTAGATGGAGGTTCGTTTTAGATTACCACATTCTAATACGTCACAGCTCTATTCTTTCTCCTCTGTCCCTCTACAATAAACCTCTGGTGGAGGAGAGTTTAAAAGTAAAGTAATAGTAATGTTTCTTAAAGTGTGTTGAACCAGAGTAGAATAATTTAATTTGTATATATGCAAAGATAATATCAGTTCTAACTATAAAAATCTGAGAATAACTAGAAGAGAGAATGTGTATTTTTTATCATAATACACTTCTTTGGTCTTTTTATTGTTTATTATCTTTTTTTTCTGAACACAGTCTAGTTGTACATTTGCATGTTTTTGTCATTTGTGGCTTAATTTTACGTGTCCATGGTTTGAAGATTTCATGGCAACTGAATGCTATTAAGTCTTCTCTGGCAGTTCGTCATGTAAGTTTAGAGTTACATTCCAGTACTGATAATGGAAGCATAAACAGTCTCTGAAACATTGGATTGTATCTCATACACAGCTGATTACCCAAGAAAACGTCTTTGTGTCAAAGTGTTAAATTTTTGAGTTGTTTGTTTCTTAAATAGTATTGTTATTCTGTCTGGTGTTCTAATGAGCATTTTGTTTGTAATTTCTAAGTGATTAACCAAATGTTGCAGTTGAGTGGTTAGTACTCCTTTATATTCAGGAGGTCTTGGGTTTCATTCTCTTCTCAGAGACCTGTCTTAACTGAGGTTCTTTTTAGTTTTCTACATTCTTTCCAATTCATCATTAACAGTCATTCTATTTTATGCTGTATAACCTATGCAGTTGAGAAAATGTCATTAAATGTACCAAAAATTAGTCAGTCTTTAAATCTAACAAACTCACATGCTTGCTGGGTCCTGTATAGCATGCTATTACTATTATATAACAGTCAGCTTGGAGTTTTAAATTCCTGTACTTCTCCTACTAAGTACTACTTATTCTTCATTTACTCTTTTGAATATTCAAACTTATTTCTCCTGTGTGTTCCTTTGCAGTGCTCGAACCTCCTCCTCCCGGAGTTATAAAACAGCTTTTATCAGATGACTAACCAAATTACCAACAATTGCGAATCAAGCACCAGTTCTTGTGAGGAATGATTTCCGCAGCAGGAGCTGTTCTCGCCCAAAAAGGAGTAATGGTTTACGCAAGCAGGACTGTGCTGCCAAAGAGGTGAAGGGAAGTTCCAGTGCAGTGGTCGCACAACAGCGACACAAGTCACAATCCACTGCTACTCCTCCTCCTCATCGGAAAATTTCGCCAACATCTCAGTGCAAGAAGGATGACTGCGTCATGATTAAGGAACGAGGCAAACGCCCTCTAAGCAGTAGCCGGGAGAAACAGTCTTCTCGTTTGTCCAAGGCCATCTGTTGCCCTAAGGGTGAGTCAGTGGTTGAAAAGACTTCTTCTTCAAGTAGCTTGTCACAGTCCCCATTCCCATCCAGTAAATTGGAACTGAAATTTTCAAACTCTTCATTGCAACAAACTTTCTCATCAGTTGCCCTCAGTTCTGAACAAGATGAAATGCAGAAAGATGGTTTTGAGTCATTGGGTAAGAAAGTGGTTTCGCCTAAACTTAGATTGCGAGAAAAGTTACACAAAGACTTGGATACAGGCACTAATATATTCAAGCATAGGATGATAAAACGAACAACCGTTACCAGCATTAAAAGAACAACTGTTCTTAACTCAAAAGTTATTAGGAGAAAGACTTCCCTGGAGAAAGACTCCAATTAATTTCATAACTATATGCTTCTGCTCTTGGTAATTGTCTTATAACTCTTTCATCTTGTCCCCAGGGGACTTAAGACTAACGAGTTCAGTTTTGAAAGTCAGATGTGTCACAAAGAATGAAAATTTTAAAAATGGCCTAAATTCTGTAAGGCTCTTGTAGGGAATATGGCCAAGTTGCTGCCATACTCATACTTTCAGAGACTGTCAACAGAAGTCAGCACCGTTAAGTCATTAACATCGGCTAAGTTGTGTTCAGTGAGAGAGTCACCAACTGAACTGCACTGTATGTTGTCAGATGCCATTTAAGTGTCGGGAGAACGGAGGGAAAAGCATATATCAGACTTTCAGAACACGAGTAATGTGTCAGTAATCTTCATAAACAATAATTTTCATAGAGCTTAATCGAGAGAATTATCTGTACTTTTATATAGTGTAATTGGATTTTGTGTCATTCTTTGTTAGATTTTCTTTTGGCACAGATAAAAGAAATATATCAACCTTGCCCAAAGACTAAACTGATTCAGTGTAAAAAAAATCAATGAACTCAAAGAATTGCTGATGCTATTAGATGTCATAGACAAGCATGAACAGATTTACAGTGCTGATGGAAAAGGTTGCAGGTTACATCTGGATAAGGAGCCGAAGGCACGAGGCCAAAAGATTTCATGCAAAAACCAGTTGCAGAAATTAATCCTGCCAGCCAGGTCACATGGCTGCAACATTTGAGCTACAGTCGCTGTGTGACTGAAGTTTAAGCAGATTCATTGCTTTGGCTGCTGCTGATTTCAGGATGCCACTGTCTCGCTGGTTTATGTGGTGTGTGTTCTGACCTTGCCCCTGTTTTATCTAGTTTTCCTTAGCTAAGCACATTTTTGACAGGTTTCTTGTCCAGAAGTGACCTAGTAGACCCGACTTTCGTAATAAGTTTACGGATGCCTGTTGTGCTTGTAACTGTGATCCCAGGATATGTATGACAAATTTTCTCTGACACTTTCTAGTGTAACCACATTTCATATACGATTCATAAGCATACTGTTCAGAAGTGTATTGAACCCTATCCACACACAACAATAACCAGTACTTAACATGATGCACTGTTGTGTGAATAATTTTTATGACAGTTGCTGTTAGTGCTACACCTGCTGGACAGTGACATCTGCATTCAGCTTCATCCATTGATGCTCTGAATCATTTGGCTACCAAGAATTTTTATGCTTTGTTTGCTGCCAGCCATTTTTTCTATGGTATTATTAGAACTTCTGATACTTTGTACGTGTCATTTTAGCGTGCGTCTCACAAAAACAGGTACTGTATAATTTTATGTAGTGAAATTAATTTTATAGGACATTTATACCTGCACATATACATGAATTACAGTATTTTAATTTTGTTAAACACTACCACTTGTATAAAGAATATGCATAATGAATTGTAATTTTATTTTTATCACCTGTTTTCTCATAAAATATAAAATGCAAGTGTTATGTTTGCACTAAATGGAATGGCAGAGTATATTTTTAACTTGTAGAAGTTAATGTATTTATTTATAGAATTCAAATGCCATATAAGTCACATGTAAATATATTTAGCAGGTGTTGATGGGAAGGGATCTTCATTTTTTTAGTTCTTGGTTCTGTAGTTTCTTTGCGTAGCATATGTTATGTTTGGTTTAAAATTTGGTACTATAATTTTGCTAGTCCATTATGAATCAAAGAACCTTTTGCAAGTACCACTGTTGAATTTAGCATAAATGTTCAAGTTATCAACTTCAGTGACACCATAACATGCAAAAGAGCTTGCCAGTTATTTTTGGATACATGATTTATTGATTCAGTTTTCAAAACTTTTTTAACACTGGAAGAATCAAAAACCAGTAAAACCTCTGTATAAAAAAACTCTATATTCTCAACATTTTTCTGACATTGTTATAGTGAGTTTTTCTCTTTCAGTTTGTAACCTGTTTTTATGTGCCAGTGATAAAAATCACATAGGAATCGCTCTTCTGGTAAAGATAACTGTGGTTGAAATCTTTGTGCTGGAAATTGTTGACAAAATACTGATTTGCACAGCCTCTAGCAAGCTGCATGAAGTTGCAAGGCACAAAGCAAAGATATCGTGCAAGGCTATGAATAGCTGATAAGCCCATAAGGTTACAACGTATACCGTGAATGTGCAGACTGGGAATGCTGGAACGCAGTGTCCCTTGAGAAGATGAACATTACAATAATGGATCCCATCATAAATCTGCAGATAAAAAGAATAAATTTGCAATCACATAAAGCTAATGTGATGTATTCATGAACAGCCAGGTGCTACAAATGTGGAAAAAATTATTTTGTATTATAAGGTGGCTGTAGGCTTACTGGGAAAGGTCTATTCATGTCATATCATTGAGAAACATTAGCTATAATTTTAATTCCTCTAAAATATAAATATGTCTTAACATTTTATTGTTAGCTGTTGTTTCTGTACCAAAATGTTTTATTTATATTTTATTCGCATGTGGAAGCATGCATATTGCATACAGTGTTGCCTAAGTTTATATGACCAGCTGTCTAGTAACTTTGCCACATTTAAAATGACATTTTGATGTTTGTGTGGTAACTAGTGTAGTAGCGTGAGCCACCAAAGTTGATGGGAACCTTTTTTGTGTCAGATCTTAATACAGTTTATTGCAGCTCAATCTTTGAAAGTACAATTTTTTTTTTATCTAAATGAAATTTGAAACCATCTTCATGGTGATCGAGGCCAGATTGCTGCCAAATGCACCAACACAAAACTGGCCACCTGACTCCAGACTCTGCCAGACCCCCCACCACAGATACTGCTGTTGCCTTATTTGCATGTTTTGCTGCTAAAATTACCACTGTCAGAAATGAATTTGTTTCCACATTATGTGGGTGGTGCGCTCGTACATTTAAGTTGACTGACATTGGCTGTTATGTTCAGAACAGATAGATTGTGATTTTTATTTATTTTGCACATTGCCATAAAATAAAGAAGTACAACATTTTGGAGTGTGGAAATGAACATTCCAATTCAATGCATTCTTTTGTATGCTGTGTCACTGAGAGTATGATTATTTAGTACAAAAATTGTTTTTACATTGAAATCATAGTTTTGGGTTAAATGGAGTATCAGAAGCATATTTTAACTCACTTTTGTTTATTTTAGTGAATCGTACGTGTTTTACTCCACACAGTCTAGTTATAAACAAAGGGAAATAATGTTGATTCCTTACATTTTATATAGACATTTATATATATAATAAGGTACATATGAATTTATGTATGATAACTAATAGTTTATATAATACCTAATGCTGCTTGTGGGTGAAGACAGAGGGAATGAATTATGCACCAGTTTGATGAAATATGAGCGTTATGTTTTCTGTGAATGGTGCTTCGAGATAGTGCACTACAGTTGTATTTTCTCGTGTACACGCTGAAATAATCTGAGTAGAGGAGTGGCAAATTTCAGTAGATAGAAAACTTACTAGATCCCAGGCATAGCAGATTTTGGCTTTCTGTCAGAATGATAGACTGTAGTACTTGAAACATGTTTAAATACTTGTATACATGCTTTTCAATTCAACCATTATCATTAATGATACTGATTTATACAAAAGAGTTTTTAGTTTATTTCATTAAGATAATGGTCTCCAACACTCAGCACTTGGCCTTTCCAAGTGTATTTTAATTGTTGAATTACTGTACGAATTTCTAAATAGTGCATACATTGAGAAGATAGATGTAATTCTTCAGTTCTTCTTCACAAGAAGTATTCACATTCAATATATATTGGTCAGTTTTTGAGATTTAGTGATGCTTTAAATCTGAAGTGTATGAATATTTCTAATTTTGCAAAGTTTATTTGTCTGGTGTATATAACTCAAGTTGAAATAACTGTTAATACATTTCAGTTCTTAGATGCTAATAATTAGGCATAACTATTTGTACATTTAATCAAGTTATTGTAATAGTAGCTGGTGAAATTATTGAATCAATTGTTGTAACAAACCTGTAGGTAATCATTGCAATTATGCTGCCGAGAACATGGTCATCACTGTGTCTAAACACCATGTGATTTGCAGTGTTTTACAGTGATAAATCTGTCTTTTTAATGAGCTGCATGCATCTGTGACTTGGTGATGATTGATGCATTTTGTGAAAATCTGTTTTAACAACATTCCACTTGTGGTCACATGGTATTTAACTCCCTGCCATCAACAGTACAAACACAGTGCAACTCTTATTAGGGTTTATTTCAGTCATTAAATAACATGACAGCATGGAAATATTATTGTGGGATGCAGAGCATTGAATTGTTAGAGGACTTGCTCTTTTGTGTTGGATTAGGAGGTACGATGTTGTATCTCGGAGATGTTACACTGGTTTGAGCTTAGTTGTGCCATATCTTGAGTAATCCATAAGAAATTCCAATTTCAGAGAACATATTGCAGAGAAACCATAACAATCTATAACTTCTAATTTTTTCAGAAATATACACCAACTTTACTCCTGCTGATTAGATGGGTGCCAGAATCAATCTGGATTTTGTTGTGAGGGAAAAATCCCATTGTTCTTGATGGTGATTGAAATCAAATACAGGTTATTCACTTTATTAACCTTTAATATAAGGGAATAGGGGACTTCATTCCTCATACTCTGGTTGCTGGCTAGACTTTAATTACGGGGTCTAATGGTTTAGCAGTATGCTACAGGACACGCAGTCAGAGCCTGCTCTGTTGATTTCAGAGCCACTTCTTTGAGATGAGGGATTTTTATTTTATTGTTCTGTACAGATCAATGTTCTGCAATTGGTGTGCTGCAAATTTAAAGATCCTAGAAAAAAGCAGTATCTTGTTAGAATTTGTAATGCACACACAGGTTCATCATCGATGGTTTTATTCAAACATGTGCTATGTTTTGTTTTCATATGCTTACATTCTTATGGGACAGGTATTTATATGTGGATACATATTATGGATATGTATAGTTTGTGCCCGTTTTTTGTGAGGCAACTTTTTTTTGGTCATGCTGTCATGTGTTTTTGATAAATTATGATGTTCTGCGGGTGAAAAAAGTTTTCATAACACTGGTATAGATTGGACTATATATGTATAGTTGTGTATATGTATTGTGTAGATGGTCACAAAAGAGAAAGGTTGTGAAAAAGTTGGTCTGATTGGTAGCTACTGATCCACAAAAGTGTAAATAATTGGTAATATTGTAATGTTGCATATTCCTACAAAAAGGAGAGAGAGCAACCATGTTAGAATTAGAAATTTCTTCCATCATCATGGTTTATATAACAGCCTTGTATAGCTTCGTATTACTGACATATAGCTATTTTTATAACGGTGGTCTGTTGCAAATTATCAGGATGGAGAGCATAACATAGCTAGTGTTAAAATTGTGGCAATGGTTTGCTTTATGGTACTAATTTAATGTTAGAAATAGGTAGAAGTCTTCTTTCTTGTTAGCACCTTGTGCCTCCTAAATTTGATCATAAGATTGGTTGGTTTTGAGAGCTTTTTTTGTATACTTGTGTGTGCATGCACGTGTTTTGTATGTGTGTATTTGTATAAATCAGGATGGACCATTTCCTTTTTGATCAAGAAGCAGTGGCCAGCTGGGCCCGACCTTCTGCGTCTCTGCGGGGGTAGCAGTCGGTGAAGGTAGCCTTATCTCGGTGGTAAGCTATTGCAGTAAGATTATCCTTTAGAAAGTGTAATAAAACCTTACCATTGCTACAGCAAATGCTAAAAATGATGATCTCCTGACTGAATGCACTCAGTGTACCTGCGGAACACATTGGTATTTACTCTCTAGTTCTTCTCTGGAAATGGCTGATATTATTTCTTCCTTCTTCAAGAGTGTGGAAATTTGTTTTATACACTTCATCTTTTGAGCTTCCCCACAAGTAAAACTCACATGATGCCAAGTTAGGAGAACATGGGGGCCACAGACCATGCCTAATTACTTGGTCAGTGAAAACATCTTGCTGTACTTTCAAACTTAAATGTACCATCTGAACTGTTACAGAATCCTGCTGGAAGGCACTACATAGCCCTTATTCTTGTGTTACCTCAGTAAAATGTGGGCTTAGGATATCGTTTACATACCCAGCAGCATTAACTGTATCATCGTAAAAGATAGGTCCAGTTATCCTGCATGCAGTTTTCACTCACCAAACACCACTTTTGTCATCATGCAGAAGAAGTTCATAAATAATTCTTGGATTTTTTGCATTCCAATACTGACTGTTCTGGGAATTCATTTCTCCGTGTAAGGAAAACGACAGTTCTTCAGGAAAAAGAAAACACTAATTGTGGATCAATGTACAGACCAAAGAAAGCAATTGCAAAAATGTATTCTTGCAACCTGATCATGTACCTTCAAAGCATGAACTACCATTGTCTGATATGATTGCAGTCTTGACATTTTCTGGCTTTTCATGTAGATGTTCTCAAAGCACCTGTTCCCATGCAGTCTAAGAAATTTTCTTAGTGAAGTTTCAAGTCTAACAACTGTGTCATCTAATATCTCTTCTGTCAACACATTTCTATTCCTATCTGGCATTTTGTCTAGCACTGACCCTGTTGTTTTAATCTTATTTACCAAGTAATATATATATATATTTTGTCTGCTTGGAACTGGTTGTCTTGGAAATTTGAACTTCAGTTTTCTGTGACATTTTCTGGCAGGCTCATATTTTAAATTGAGTTGCACCAAACATACATGTTTTTCAGTAGCATACCTAACTTGAGCCATGTTGTACAATACCGAATGGTTTATTGAGAAATGCATTAACAGACACAGACAAAAGTGATTATTTTTGGTGGTAGTATGATGTCACCGACTACTTCGGCTGCATAGATGCGGCAAGCCGGGATCCAGCTGGCTGCTCACACAGCTGCTGCTTCTCCATCAAATAGGAAGTGGCGCACCCTGTGTGTGTGGTATAGGTGTTCAGTTTATGGAATGCAGTTACAAAAGTGTGTTGTACCTTTTACAAGAGAACAAGAAAGATATTCATAATCATAAAAGTGTGCCAATGGTGATAAAATTCTTTCATTAAATTTTGATTATGAATGCTTTAGTATTTTACTTACTGAGGCTGGAGTATTTAGTTAATTCGATGTTTGATAGATAGTATGAACTCGTTCACAAATTTAGTCCTCTCTGATAAAGAAATAACATGCTGTAGCATCCCCTGCCCACATACACACACAAATGTCAAATATGTTTTATACAGCTTATAATATCTTGTTGGTGTTTAACAAAAATCTGTTATCTGTGAGCATTCTGTAGGGTGACTAGTCATGCCAATAGTTCAAAAAAGAGTTCCCAGTTTTAAACCTTGAAATTTTAAAATAATTCGCATTTACAATTTTGAAAACTAATTTAATTCCACTCTCTTTCCACAACACTGGTATTATGTACATTATGAATACTCATATTTTAGAGAATGTGATATCTGTTGTGTACAGTTAATGTCAGAAAAGTCCTAATAAATAACACAATCTGGATGCCTTTTCTTTATTTTCACACAAATAATACATCTACATACTCTGCAGATTTTTGTTACCATTTAAGTTGGTAAACCCTTCTTCATTATTTGGTCATAAGTTCTGTCCATCTTCTTTGAGGCATAAAAATAATGGCAAATACCTCATGACAACTTAGTAGGCTGTCAGCAGGTTATGGGTTGCTTTCTTTAAGCCTGACAGATGTAGGTAATTCTTCCCGTGCTGTTGTGGTCATAACCACCATGATGTAGTCATTGAAAAACAGGAAACTTTTAAATTGGCTTTTGCTTAACAAGTGGCTCAACTCCTTGTTTACTAGCTGATTATCATATCATTTGATAATGAAGGCACCCATCCAAAGTGATTTATAAATTCAGACATACTTTTATGCCATACAATCATTGTATTCCAGAATTGCCATGAACATTAATTTTCTCTTCTATCTTTAAGTAAGATTTGGCGTTTTCATGGCGGTGAGTCATAAGATAGCTGTCTTTTGGGTAGTGCCGGGACGATGACTTGCGCTTGTGTTGAACTCCGACATTAGCTTTTTGATTGACTGGTCAGATTCCTAATGATCGAGATGATTCTCGAAACATCGGTTCTTTTCGACCACTTGACGTGGCTGATTGCTCGAGAAGGCTTTCATTGAACGTAATCGCCGCAATATCTGTAGATCTTACTAGTCAAATTGCTTGAATGCAAGTCACCTTAAAACAAATGTTTGTTAAATATTCCACTAATGTGAACTTTGTTTCTGGTGTGTTTGAAGTCTACTGTTTCAACTTCATCTTTGTACTTTGAATTATTTTACGTTCAGAAGATAATTATAATAATAGCAGGAACGAAAGGGAAAGCTTCATGCAAGGAATTGTTTAATATTATTTCAACAGACGACTTCTAGCAGACTACACGGCGCAACTACCCAGAATACACCGCTGTGAAAACCTCAAAGCCTACATTTATTCCCTTCCTATGTTCTCTGCCATGAAAGTCCATCGTTTACCGTGTTCCTTATTCGTCGGCGACGTGTAATACAGTATTCGCGTACGACGTTTCGTATTTGGGTCTGCGGTGTAAATTGTGTGTTACAGTTAGAGTTGTATATTCTGTTCATCTTGTCGGACAACGTAAAACGCATAAAATTGATGGTAGTTATTCGCGTTTGTAATGGTGGACAGTAAAGAACAGTAGGTTAGGTCTTGTTAAATTATTCCTTACAGTAGTGCATTATTTCCACATAGTACGTTGTCACAGTTGGTTGACAGTAGTATTTGCTGTAGTTGATATAAAAGATATTAGTCCCTCAATGTGAATTACATATTCTCATCAGTGATCATTAAAAATACTAGATGTTGTTGAGCCACAAAATCATATGCCTACTGTTTCATGAGGTTTTCGATGAAGATGTTAAATTCTTAGGATGAAGAATTAACAATCTGAAGGGTACATCTCTCTACTGTTCCCCATTGTTTGTAAATTATTGCATAAATAATATTGTAGTATAACATTTCTTGTAATGTCCTTTGAAAAATTCCTGGACATGCAGCACAACCTCATGCCTCACATTACATCACTGCATTTTCCTACTTTGAAACTATGGTAGAATATTCCAGTGTACCACGGATTTTAATTTTATGAATTATTCTTATGAGCTAAAAATCAATTAGATATATGATTGATATATCTTTACTTTAAACCTTAACTAATACAAACTTACTTTTTATGTGAAGTGACCATTGCAGAGTTATGTTTATGTACGATATTGTGTAATGCAAAACCTGAAAATATTTGCAACTTGTGTTCCAAAATTCTTGTCGTCCCAGAATTATTTTTTGCATGCTATGAGAAGGGTATGTGGCTGACACTTGTGACAAGTTTCAAACAAATCTCAGATGCTACTTTTCTGCATTTAATTTCCAAGTTTTGAAACATGCAACTATTTATAACTCTGAAGCTTTACAAGTTGTGAAACATGTTTATATTTGGCCAGGAAAAAAAATTGTTTTACAATGAGCTCTACTGTGTTTCAGTAAGTACATTACCAAGGGCATCAGTGTAAAGAGAAACCTCATGGATATGATTTTTAACATACTTTATTTCAAAGACCATTTGAGAGATATTTTTAAAAAACTGGGTAAAGATTGTGGCTTTGGGGCCAATATGTATATTAAATTTCGTCACAGTCCGAGATGGTTGGTTGTAAATTTAACTTTAAGATGCTTTGGTTTCCCATAGAACAACCCACATCTATTTAAAATACATAGTTGGCAAGATCTTTTGCAGGGGATGGCTATGTTGAAATAAGACAATTCCCTGAAAGGTTTAGGCTTATCCTATTTTCACAAGTTGTATCCTACTACAATTTCAATTTAGTGTAATGAAAGCACTGTCTTGTTAATATTGTGATAATCTTGTAGTGCTCATTGAGAAAACAGTTTTTCTGTTTCTATGCCTAACTTTCCATGACTGTTGTCACGAGTATTTAGAATTACTTAAGTTGTATTGAAATGTTCATAATTGACCTGAACTTACCACTGGAGAGGCTTCTTTTTGCTTATTTTCAAATTTATTGCAGATCTTAAGCAGGATTTGTTTGTTGAAACCTAGGACATTTACAGTATACTTTGAACATTTATCACCAAAGAAAAATCCATTTGATCTGATTTTTGGATCATGCAGTACAATGACATCTTCATCTGTCAAGAAGAAAATTGTTGCTGTTTGTCAGATGACGGCAACAAACAGTAAAGAGGACAACTTGAGAACCTGTTTAGAATTGATAAAATCTGCAAAGAAAAGGGATTGCGTGGTATGTTGTAATTATAAATTAATGTGTGTGTTCTGTCTCCAACATCTGTTGTGTAAGTATGCTGAAAATTTATATATCTCAACCATGTTCAGATCTCATGTATGCTGGTAGGTGACATAATGTGTGATTGTTACTATAGGATTTTCAGTATTTTGCAATATACTATGAATCTGAAATACGTTAAAGGGTTTTTATTGTCTGCTCATTTCACAGTTGTGTATTGGTAGAGCTATTCATTATGCAGTAAAAGGAACAACACTGTGATACACCGTTGGACATCACGTGTCTGGATTGTCATGCATTTTATTTAATAAACCAGGAACAATGTAATCCTGGAGAAAAACACTAAATGTTTATTCAGTGGGCCTGTGCACAGATTCTGGGAATGTGGAAAAACACCAGTGATGTTTGAAATTAATTATTACAGATGATACTATAAGACAAATGTTTTTGAGTTTAGGGATTATGTGTTTTTGTGATATTCAGTGATAGACCTGTGTGTCAAATGATGCTTATGATAAGATTTAGGGCAAGAAACATTGATAAGAAAATTGTAACATTTCTAGAATTTTCCTGCAGTAAGACTGGGTACTCAATATGAAAAATGGTTACATAACCCAGTTTGGAAATATTCTACCAGAAGATCATCAAAATAACTTTTATTTATTTCAGATGGTTTTCTTGCCAGAAGCATGTGACTACATTGGTGAATCCAAAGCGCAAACATTGGCAATGGCAGAATCTTTGAATGGAGATTTAATTAAAGCATTTTGCAACTCTGCAAAGGAAAATGAAATTTGGTTGTCTTTAGGTGGAATACATGAGCAGGTAAGTTGCAGTGTTGAACAACCTGGTTTCAGTTATGACAGATTTGTTTTACCTCTGTTAAATATGAAATTCCCATCTTACTGATTAGTGCAACTGCATGATCAAAAGATAGGGTTTAAGACAACCCCTCGTTGTCTCAGTTAGGAAGAACACCTGTGTGTTGGTAAAATTTGAAGATTAGATGATCAGCTATTCACCTGGCTAAAAATTGACAGAGTTAAAGTTAAATATTTGTTTGTCTGTGTTCTGTAGGTGAGTGCTGAGAGTGTGGCAAACTCTCATGTTATAATTGATGGTAAGGGTGTTATCACTGCAGTGTACCGGAAAGCACACCTGTTTGACTTAAATATTCCAGAAAGAGGAATCAAATTGATGGAATCTGATTATGTTCTTCCTGGTCAAACAATTCTTCCACCGGTTGAAACACCTATTGGAAATCTGGGACTTTCAATTGTATCCTTTTGTGGCTCGTTTGTATTAAGTACCAGTGTTTTGAAATTTTACTTTTTGTAAATGGATGTATATACAGAATATAGTAACATGCTGTGTATATACACACAAGGTAATACAAAAATGACTGTGCATGTCTCCCCCCAGTTATGCCACCTTCAGCATTATTGTATACCAGAGTATTTTATTGTGTTTATTTCATTTGTATATTGTGTTCTGTTCTTTGTATGTATGTATATTTTTTTCCATTGACTCTGTAATTGGTTCTTGTAGCTGTTTACATAGCGTATTAAAATAAAGAATTGAATAATCATTATCTGTATCTTACACATGTGACATAAATTGATCTGAACCATTATATAATATATTTGTTGGTGAATTATACACTTCAGTTGGTAAATACAACAAATTATTTGTATTTATCTTAACTACACACCAGTGTTATGACATGCGCTTTCCAGAGTTGAGTTTAATATTAGCTAAAATGGGTGCTGATATTTTGACATTTCCATCAGCTTTCACATATGTTACTGGTGCAGCTCACTGGGAGACAATTCTTCGAGCTAGAGCAATTGAAAGCCAGTGTTATGTTATTGCTGCAGCACAAACTGGAGCACATAACAGCAAGAGGACTTCCTGGGGACATGCAATGGTACATAATATTACTTGTTCAGTATTTGTATATAGACTATCTTACTGCCAGCAGAACATGCTGAAATAAAATAAATATTATGTGCACATACAGTGGAACCTATTTAAAAGAAAATTCCAAAATCTGGTATCCTAATAGATTAAGTAACCTCCAAAACAGGTGGTCAAGACCCATAGACTGGGTTATAGGGCCACAGATGATAAGTCTTGTGTAATCTACAATATGATGTGGGGTTTGTCTGTTATATTGGGAATGGGAGAGGTTAATGTTCAGCGATCTGTGAGAATATTCTTTGAGTTTTGGTACATTCACCTATTTCAACCAATTGAAAAACTTCCTAGCAAGTTTTAACCTATAATTTTATAATTATATAAGACAACATCAGGAGAATGAATAACTGATTGTCCCAGTCCAATGACTTCAAATGTATTCGAACATGATGATGGCCACATTGGGCTGAAACATGTAGTTCAAAGTAATAGACTAAATTGTAGGTGTGTGAAAGTGAGTGACAAAATCAACAAGATAAGAATTTTTACATACAATTACATCAGTGTTCTCATTTACATTTATTGACAGTTTAGTTTTCAAAGAGGCTTTTCCATCAAATATTTGTTCTTCATTTCAGATTCTCTTTAACTTCCCATAAATCAGAGTTTTACAACCTTTAATCTTTGGTGATTGCTTTCATGCTGAACCTTTGCTTCACTTGTTTCAATTAATTTGTATTCAAGTCTAACACATTTTTCTTTTTGCGGCCTGCTGTTACAAATAGACAATTTCACAGCAGATTATTACAGATATCTAATCCAGTCCTTATCAGTTTTAAAACAAGATAGAATTTTCTGCAAAAAACAACTAATGAGACTCGTGTAATAATTTCAAACAGAAGACGAGTCACCACAGATTTATTCCAGAATCTGCAGTGTGAACCTAAAGTAAGGGACAATTTTTCAGCGTTTCCTATACTTCTTTTTCCATTATCTTTCTCATCAGAACAGAAAAATATTCAGAAATGAAAGGTTTATATTTTAAACAGCTTTTGCTGTGTGTGTTTGCCCTTTCTATTTTAGAGTTAATGGGAAATTTATGTAAGTAATTTGCATTCAGTGTATTGTGATAAAACAAAGCTCATCATTCTCTCAAGTAGAATTTATTTTCATTTCATGAGAATTTTAATGCCTGCTTGGCAATAATTTGCTGGCAACCCAATCCATTTTATGTGAATCAACAACTTGGGGAATGTATGAGCCAAGAAGTTTTATAGCAATTAGTTGTCATTTGAGGTCAAAACAGGTATGGGATTTAGAGTGTTTATTATTGCCTAACTCTGATTTCACAGTATAATTTTCTTATATTTAATCTGTAAAATTTGTATATTTGCAGTTTCTAAATTGTTATTTAGGTTGTGGATCCATGGGGGAATATAGTTGCTCAGTGCTCTGAAAAAACAAACATTGCAACAGCTGAAATCAGTCTAGATTATGTCCAGAATGTACGGACATCAGTACCTGTTTGGAAGCATCGCCGAAATGACTTGTATAAGGCATTAATTCCGGAAAGGTTGCTTGAAGATCA